GAGAAGATCAGGACCGAAGTTCAAATGGGATGAGTTTCCTGAAAAGGTTGCTGTACAAATGAATGATACGCACCCCACTCTTTGCATTCCAGAGCTTATGAGAATTTTGATCGATGTGAAAGGTCTAAGCTGGAAGGGGGCCTGGAATATCACCCAAAGGTACTCTTAAGCTATGTTGTTTTCACTTCATGCGGAACAGATCCTTTATTTTCCTTTTCAAATATGTTTGCTACAAGAGGTTATTAAGAATCTCAAGCCATACTCTATATTCACAGTAATGCCCTTTTTCAGAACTGTGGCATACACAAACCATACGGTTCTGCCTGAGGCTTTGGAGAAATGGAGTTTAGAACTGATGCAGAAACTGTTGCCTCGACACGTGGAGATTATAGAAATGATAGATGAGGAGGTCAGATGGAACAAATACATAAGACAAAACCTCCATTTTCTTTTTTGGAATTTCTATTCTTATTCGATTTGCTTCCTATTTATACCATTTGCAGCTTATTCTTATTGGAGAAGAAGCGCAGATGAGGATTTTAGAAAATGTTGAGCTGCCAGCTGCGTTCTCTGATTTACTAGTTAAACCCAAGGCAAGTCCTGTTGCTGTTTCCACTGATGAACTTGGCGAATCTGAGGAGGAGGAAGAAGATGATGAAGAAGATCTTGAGCCTGCTGGTGGGAAAACTAAATCTGTAAAAGGAGGCATTCAAGGGAAGAAAAAGAAGATCCCGGAACCAGTACCAGAGCCCCCTAAGTTGGATTGTATGGCTAACCTATGCGTCGTAGGTGGTCATGCAGTGAATGGAGTTGCTGAGATACATAGCGAGATAGTAAAAGATGAAGTTTTTAATGATTTTTTTAAGGTAAATGCAATTTACAAAACCTCTTTCTTTAATTGCAAAAGGTGTGCAACTTAATAATAAAACTGAGTTCTTCAGTTTGTTACTAGGAAAATTGTTATTGATCTCTGTGCTCAAATTTTGACAGTTGTGGCCTGAGAAATTTCAAAATAAAACAAATGGGGTCACGCCAAGAAGATGGATTCGTTTCTGCAATCCAGACTTGAGTAAAATTATAACGAGGACAGGCTCAGAAGATTGGGTTTTAAATACTGAAAAGTTATCTGAACTTAGAAAGGTAATATGCCATATCTAAGACTTTTCCTTTTCTTGTAAAACTTCTTGTACAGTCATTATGTATGTTTCATAGAAGTGAAACTTAATTACACCCTGTGAATGAACGGTGATGATAATGACTCGGCAACTTTCACGAGCAACAAACTAGCGGTATCTAAAATGCTTCTATCACAACAAAAGAAAACTGCCTGATTGCCTTGTGTAGAATCTAGTCCCGTTTTTCTTGCCAATTATGTACACGCCTATATCTAATATGTGTTGTTATATCACAGATTAGGCATTTTTTATGGTTAATTCAAATTTATTTACATAAGAGAAAACATTTGAATCCTTCAGCTATTACAATAGACCTTAATCAGTGTTGTAGCGCATGTTCATAGTTTGCAGATAATGAGGATCTTCAAGCCCAGTGGAGGGCCGCAAAAAGGAACAACAAATTAAAGGTTGCATCTCTTATTAAAGAAAAGAGGCTATACAGTAAGCCCCGATTCAATGTTTGACATCCAGGTAATTTCTCTTGTCAACTTTGCTTTCCTAAAAAGTAATCAAAGAACTGTACATATCATCAGATAGGCTAAAACAGTAATCATGTAAGCAAGGAGAACACAATCTACATTGAATTTCAGGTAAAGCGCATCCATGAATACAAGCGTCAGCTGCTGAACATTTTGGGTATTGTTTACCGGTACAAGATGATGAAAGAAATGAGTGCTTCAGAAAGAAAGAAAAAGTTTGTTCCACGTGTTTGCATATTCGGGGGAAAAGCATTTGCCACTTACGTTCAAGCCAAGAGAATTGTGAAATTCATTACTGATGTTGGGGCTACAGTTACTCATGATCCTGATATTGGTGATTTGCTGAAGGTATGTTTTGACTTCATAATATCATATACATAAACCTAATAAGGTGTTCTTCCCTGCGATCACCATAAAAATTCCATTCTGTGAAATTTTTGTATTAATAATTTTTGTATTATGTTCCAATTTTAGGTTATTTTTGTTCCCGACTACAATGTGAGTGTGGCTGAATTGCTTATCCCTGCAAGTGAGCTATCACAACATATCAGGTATTTCAATTTTATTCATTGAATGGATAATTCTTTACATATCTGATGCATATTCAGACATGGGAATCAGGATATAACCCTTAAATTCTTGAAACTACTTTAAAATGTTGATTATAGCTGTGCTGGACCCGGACATAAACTCGTGCCTTGCAGGTCTTAGTCTAAGGAACATAGGAAGCGAGAAAGTTTCCTAGCTCCCACTTGTTAAAGAATATAGCTTGGGGAAGCCTATGCTCAGTCTGTTTGATGAAGTTCTATGCATTAGTTATTTTATATTTAATTGGCTTAATTTCAATGCGTGAAGGCTGAAGCTTAATCGAGCTCAAGCTCTTGTGGTTTTGACATAAAAATGAATCTCATGCTTTCTCAGATTTCCAATGAGCTCGATACATGCCTTTAGATCCTTATATCACAATTTGATCACAGTGTTGACACTGGAGCATCTGAATTTCTATCCTTCCTTTTATATTGTTTTCCCTTTATGCAGTACTGCTGGGATGGAAGCAAGTGGAACCAGCAATATGAAGTTCGCAATGAACGGTTGCATTCTGATTGGGACACTGGATGGTGCCAACGTCGAAATACGAGAAGAAGGTGGAGAAAACAACTTTTTCCTCTTCGGGGCTAGAGCTAATGAGATTGCTGGGCTTCGGAAAGAAAGAGCCGAGGGGAAGGTATGCTTTGCATGGTCACATTACTGGTTTTCCTTATCTCCCTTTGTTATTTTTTCTCTCCATTGACGTAGTTGACATCTTCCCGCAGTTCATCCCAGATCCTCGGTTTGAAGAAGTTAAAAAGTTTGTGAGAAGCGGTGTGTTCGGTTCCTCCAGCTATGATGAACTGTTGGGATCATTAGAAGGAAACGAAGGCTTCGGACGGGCAGACTATTTCCTTGTGGGCAAAGACTTCCCTAGTTATATAGATTGCCAAGCAAAGGTCGATGAAGCATATAAAGACCAAAAAGTTAGTAACCTTGTTCTTTTTCTTTCTTGCTTTCATTACATTACAAATCCTGAATGTGTGTTTTATTGGGATGTGGCAGAGATAGACAAGAATGTCCATCATGAATACTGCAGGTTCTTACAAATTCAGCAGTGATAGAACAATCCATGAATACGCCCGGGAGATCTGGAACATAAAGCCTGTGGAATTACCATAGTTTGGACAACACTTTCTCAACCATGAGAGCTGTCCTGTTAATAAAGTGCTATCATTGTTATTACCATATTTTAATTGAATATGAACCCATTTATATTAGCATCAAAACATGTTTTATATTATTAACGGTAAACTACGCTAATGGTCACTTGTGTTTGGGTTAATGTTCGTTTTCACTACTGATGTTTTAAAAGTCACAAATTGATCACTAATGTTATCTTTTTGTTACATATTGGTCACTTGATGTTAACAACAATATTGAAAATCAATGTTGGACCGTTATCTGTTAACTTGGATTGCCATGTGTCTCTTCTTGTTCTTCTTTTCTATCCTCTCCGTCTCTCTCTCTTGTCTATCTGTTTCTAAACTATCATCTCCATCTCTTTACCCAGTTCATGTTAATATAAATTTATTCAATTAACTCAATATTCATTAATATTTTAATATTAATTTAACTAATCCTTCAAGTTGAGAGATGAATAGATTGTCATAGGTTTTGATTTGTTTCTTTTGATGATCATCTTTACTCTTCAGCTTAAAACTCCTTATGTTACAAAGATTCCAGGCAACAAGCCAACACCCAACACATTATTATTATCAAAGATTTTGCTTTAGATTATTCATTGGAGGCAATAATTAGGAGTTGTACCACTCGTTAATGCTAATCACTAGGTTTTTGTTTCAGTACAAAAACAACCCAAACGCCTGTGCTTTGTTTATACTGATTTATGGGCTTTGAATGAGTTTTTTTCTCATGGTGTTTCTTGAGACAAGTTTAGTCTCATGCAACTGGTTTACATTAAAAACTCACTGTTGTTATCAGTTTAATCTGTCAAAGGTAAGTTCTTTGTAGAACATGTATTCTCATACTTTCTATTATTTATGATGGTAAATTAGGGTTGAAAAGATTGCAGGAAATGTTTGAAATTGTAAATTATTTTAATAAAGGGTGGCTGAGATCAAGATTTCAAAGTTTTTTCATTAGAAACCAGTGGTTTAATAGAATCGAGAGGACGAGAGAAGGAAATGTGATGCTAAGCTCTAAGCTCTTTTAACAGGAAACATGAATTGTAGGTTAAAGACAGAGGCTCTTGTTGAGTATCTAGTGAAGAAACACATAATACTTGTATATTGAATAGAGAATGAATACAATACATGGTTTGCAACCCCTCTTCTGTTTATATACAACTCCCATAGTTGTTATAGTCCTAACAGACTCTGTAACTAATCGTTAACAACCTTAACTGCTGCTAACAACTTTCTTGATGCTCACTGGCTCATTATGTTAACATTCCCTCTACTTCTTCTTCTTCTGTTCTTCTGACCTTGAACACACTATTACAGCAAGCTCTAAAAACTAATTACAACTAATTTCTAACATTCAACCTTCTTGATAAAAAGATGAATAATTGAATCGAAAGTGTTGATGCTTCCTTCCGTTCACTTGAATCAAAAGTACTGATTCTTCCTTTTGTTCTTCGTGAATCGAAAGTGCCGATACTTCCTTTCGTTATTCTTATTCACCTTCATTTATTTATTCTTCATCCTCTTTTACAAGGTTCCTTGAAATATATTTTTTTCATGGAGACTTGGTTGTGAAGCTTTCAAGTCCCATGACACTTTGAGATAGAAACAACAAAATGCACTTAAAACTTAGAAGCAATTCCTGTGGACAATGGATGGACCAAACTCGTCATACTCACCCTTGGAAATCCACATCTGCTGGAAGGTGCTGAGTGAAGCCAAAATGGATCATTCGATCCAGACACTGTATTTTCTCTCTGGTTGTGCGATGACCTTAATCTTCATACTACTTGGAGCAAGGGCAGCGATCTCCTTGCTCATACGGTCTGCAATACCAGGGAACATAGTTGAACTACTACTAAGAACAATATTACCATAGAGATCCTTCCTGATATGTACATCACACTTCATGATAGAGTTGTAGGTAGTTTCATGGATTCCAGCTGCTTCCATCCCTATGAAAGATGGCTGGAAGAGGACCTCAGGACAACGGAATCTCTTAACTCTGATAGTAATGACTTGTCCATCAGGCAACTCAAAGTTCTTCTCAACAGAAGAGCTGCTCTTGGCAGTCTCCAGTTCCTGCTCATAGTCCAGGGCAATATAAGCAAGCTTCTCCTTCATGTCACAGACAATTTCCCGTTCAGCAGTGGTGGTGAACATATAACCTCTCTCGGTAAGGATCTTTATGAAAGCATCAGTGAGATCACAACCAGCAAGGTCAAGACAGAGAATGGCATATGGAAGGGCATATCCTTCATAGATTGGCACAATATGAAAAACACCATCGCCAGAATCCAGCACAATACCTGTAGTACGACCACTAGCATACAAGGAAAGAACAACTTGGATGGCAATGTACATGGAAGGTACATTGAAGATCTCGAACATAATATGCTGCTCGAGACGGAAATGCAGTCACAATAGAGCCAACGGACTCTATGCAGCGGAAGCTGTTGAATATATTCCAAAACACTTGGAGAAGCAGTTTGAATTGAACTGGTCTGAGTGGCTCGGTCAGGCAATTCAACAAACAGATGATATGCGCAAGCGAGAAGAAATATTCACACAGTAAACATAAACCAATTTGAGCAACACAACACTAACGACGATGACAGAATAAGGCCAAGCAAACAAAAATATTGCTAGCTATGACGAACGGAGACCAGACCAAGCAAGAATGTAGAAGAACCTCATAACAGTACATCAGAGGAAGTACTAGGCATAGATGACTTAACATAACAGCTATGTCAGAACATCCGAACAACCGTAACAATGATTTAGAGTAGAGAGATTCAAACTAACAGACCATTGATGTTGATGGAGAAAGAGAAAATCGACAATTGAGAAGAAGAGCGGCGAAGATCCATATTTAGATCAGCAACCACATCCGTTAATCAAATAGAAACACCATACTAGAACCACTGAGCAACCATCTTCTATGCCAACAAGCACGATGAACTAACAAGAACGCCCTGAGTTACGCAACAAGAAAACAAGAGGCTCCAGGAACTTATGGAGATTGATACCATGTTGAGTATCTAGTGTAGAAACACATAATACTTGTATATTGAATAGAGAATGAATACAATACATGGTCTACAACCTCTCTCCTATTTATAAACAGCTCCTATAGTTGTTATAGTCCGAACAGACTCTGTAACTAATCGTTAACAGCCTTAACTGCTACTAACAACCTTCTTGATGCTCACTAACTCATTATGCTAATAGTCTGCACTTGCTTTTGCTTCGACCTCGCTTCACTGGGAAACCTAGTTTGGGGTTAATAGATGTGAGATTTGTACTTGAGCAAGAGTTGTTTTCAAGCACGAATATTAGGGTGGAGATATGGAGAGCAGAGATAGATACTAGGGTGTGGAGAGTAGAGATAGAAGAAGAAGAAGTGGTACGTGGCAATCCAAGTTAGCAGGTAACGGTTAGTAGTGAGTGACCATTTTGTAACAAACGATGACATTGGGGATTGATTTGTGACTTTTGAAACATTAATGGTGAAAACGAACACTAACCCAAACATGAGTGATCATTGATGTAGTTTACCCTATAATTAATTAAGCTTAAGTTCTTCCAAACAATCTGCTTTTAGCTCGTGACTTTCTTTTCAAAATTATATGTAATTTGTTTTGCATCTCAATTGTGGTATTATATGTTGTAATTTGAATTTTGTTTTAATTCGGATTGAGAAGGTGGAAGAAATAAATTTAAAGGAAAAAAATGTGAATTTACAATGGATGCGGAGAGCTTCAGTCTGCCCTTGTAGTATGGATTTTGTTCAACTTATGGTGGGTATAAAGGTATATTTCTTTTATTAGTGTTTAATTATGAATGATAATTTATAATACTTCTTGTAATCTAAAATTTCTTTCTCATTAAATAATTAACTTATAAATATGTAATAGCGATTAAAATTATTTATTAAATCAACTCCTACGATTGTTAGTCAATATGTTCTTCCTAAAAGTTATTTGGGTAATTTAGAGGGTTATTTGTCCAATGAATAGTTGGGGTGACAGCCAATAACACTGTCTCTTCTATCAATTGTTGGTCGTCACTCTAATGATCCTCTCTTGAAGCTACCTTTGGTACTGTTAAGGTGAGCATCTATGGCAACAACACTCGTTGCTCCTTGACCAACATGTTTAGCAGGTCTTGGGATTGGTGATTTGGGTAAGTAAATCATATCACTTTATCATCCTTATGATGTGTCCCGCACATATTTTTTTATATGATTTGTTCCACACTCATCGAACTATTTTTTGATGAAAATAAATAGATCAAGATGACTATACATAGTTCATCTCTTTTGATTTGAAAGGAGAATCATAATGTTGATCGATATTAAAATCTTCTATATCTATAATGATGTAGAATAAAAACGAGTGAGAAAAAAATTAATTTCATCTTTTCTCTCTGTCTTGATTGAGATGTTTTAAAATGATCTATGGAATTTGACAAACATAGACTCGTTATGGCTACTTGTAGACTAATAGGCTAAGTGGATATGATCAGTTAACATTAGATTTGATTCTGATAAATTACGCGGACCTATTAGAGGTTATCTCAAGTTATTGAGATTTCTCAAGATATGTTAGACATTCGAGATCTTTTTCCTAGAGATATTATTTTCATATATATATATATATATTAAATTCTCAAGGTTCAAGAGAGGCTGAAGATTTAAAGATGTTTCAAGATCTTATGTAGATCTTAAAGTGTGGAGAAAATTCACGAAGGTATAACAAGCACTATAGAAGATCATTATATATGCCATCACTGTTGATTTTTTGGCAAAGTCCCACATTGGTTGTGTATAAGGAGGAGGGGAAATTCTTTTGTTATAAATAGAACCATCCTCCTCCTTAGTTAAGAATCCCATAAATATAAGTCTTCTTCTATATTAAAGGCTATTTGTATTCTTTCTTTCTCTTTATAATATTTCCTCTATTAGTGAAATATTATTTTAGTAGTGTTCGAGGAGGTAGGCATAATTTTGGCCTAACCTCGTTAAATTTTGGTGTTCTCTTTATGTCTATTTAATAGCTATTGTTGGGTATAGTTGTTGTTAATTATTGTCCTATTAAAATTACTTGTCTTGGTAGTTCTGTCTAAGGAAAGTGGGTTTTAAGAGGGACCATTGTGACCCCTCCTCTTTCCTGGGAATCTACCTTGGTGTGATTTTTAGTACAATCGTTTTCACACTAGTCACCTAGATAATAGCTTGAAAGGTGAATTTGTTATTATTGGTGGAAATTAACCCGGATTCCACAATAATTGGTATCAGTGCTCTTGGTTTATTTTAGTATGCTCTGTGGTTGCGGCTTAGGCTGATCTTCCACATCAGAAAAAATTTCCTTGGGATAATTGGCATTACGCATTGACAGCTATTAAATAGAATTTATAGCAGAAATGGCAGACGCAACAAAAACATCCACATCGTCGTCAACAGCTGTGACAAATGTTAGATTTGTAGTGGAGATTTTTGATGGCACCGATCATTTCGACATGTGGCGAAATGAGGTTCTAGATGCCCTATTTCAGCAGGGTCTAGACATTGCTATTGAAGGAGAGAAACCAGATGATGTTGAGGAGAAAGAATGGAAGAGGATCAATAGATTGGCATGTTGTACTATTCGATCGTGTCTTTCTAGAGAGCAGAAGTATGCATTTTCTAAAGAAACTTCTGCAAGTAAATTGTGGAAGGCACTGGAGGAGAAATTTTTGAAGAAAAGCGGTCAGAACAAGCTCTACATGAAAAAGAGATTGTTCCGCTTCAACTATGTATCAGGTACCACTATGAATGATCACATTACTAGCTTTAATCAGCTGGTGACTGATCTGATGAATATGGACGTGACTTTTGAAGACGAAGATCTGGCTCTGATGTTGATGGGATCACTTCCTGATGAGTTTGAGTATCTTGAAACTACTCTACTTCATGGGAAAGTTGATGTGTCTCTCAGTGAAGTAACTGTTGCCTTGTATAGTTATGAATTGATAAATAAAGACAAACAAGAAAACACAAGTGTCGAAGAAAAAGCTCTTGTTGTTAGAGACCGTTCGAAGAGTCAGAATAAAGGAAGGAGAGGGAGATCAAAGTCAAAGTCCAGATTGAGCAAAGATGAATGTGCCTTTTGTCGAGAAAAAAGGCACTGGAAGAAAGAATGTCCCAGGCTAAAGAACAAAGGCAAACCTAAAACGGGAAAGGCTGTCTCAGAATCAAATGTGGTCGAGTATGATGATGTAGATTCAGATTTCGCATTCGCTGCTACGTCATCAACCAACTGTTCCAGTTCATAGCTGTTAGATTCAGCTTATAGCCACCATATGACCCCCAATAGAGAATGGTTCTTTGATTTTAAAGAACTAAAAGGTGGAATTGTCTACACAGCAAATAATTCCCCTCTTGACACACTTGGGATTGGTTCAATTCGCTTGAGGAATCAGGATGGATCAATCAGAACCTTAACATGTGTCCATTATGTACCAGATTTAATGAGAAATCTCATCTCTGTGGGAACCTTAGAGTCAAAAGGTTTAGAAGTGAGGGCAAAAGATGGGATTATGAGGATTATCTCTGGTGCACTGGTGATAATGAAGGGAATCCGGAAAAGAAACAATGTGTATTACTTTATGGGTAGTACAATTATTGGGACAGCAGCAGTGACAGCTTCTACTGATGAACAGGAGTTAGAAGCAACCAGGTTATGGCATATACGCTTGGGGCATGTTGGTGAAAAATCCTTGAAATTGCTGATAGATCAAGGATTATTGAAGGGTGCTCGGGCTTGCAAATTAGTTTTTGTGAGCATTGCATCAAAGGGAAGAAGACGAGGGTGAAATTTGGAACATCAATCCATGATACTAAATGTATTTTGGATTACGTTTATTCAGATGTATGGGGGCCTTCCAAGATAACTTCATTGGGAGGAACACACTATTATGTCACCTTTGTTGATGATTTTTCCTGGAGAGTTTGGGTGTGTATAATGAAGACAAAGGATGAGGTGCTAGGATTTTTCCTTAAATGGAAAAAGATGGTGGAGACTCAAACAGGTAGAAAAATTAAACGTCTCCGTACAGACAATGGTGGAGAGTACAAAAATGATCCATTTATAAAAGTTTGTGAAGAAGAAGGTATTGTCAGGCACTTCACTGTCAGATCTACACCACAACAAAATGGGGTGGCAGAGCGAATGAAACAGACATTAGTGGAGAAGGTTCGATGTATGTTGTCTAATGCTGGGTTAGACAAAGAATTTTGGGCTGAGGCTTTGGTCTATGCTTGTCACCTTGTCAATCGCTTACCATCGACTGCTATTGGTGGTAAAACACCATTAGAGAAATGGTTTGGAGTACCTGCTACAGATTATGAT